TCGGCGGGGTCGCAGCTGCCTCTGGAAGGCACCGACATGTACCTTTTTGCGCAAATGGTCAAAATCAAGGTTTTGTAACGCGAGCTGTGCCACAGTGAAATGGAACTAGCCTTCTCGTCCTACCAGAGAAAAAAAGGAAGAAATCCGCCTCCCTCTAGCTCTACTGTACGAGGGGGCAAGAGACCCAGTGGGTGTCGCCAGTGGCTTATTGAATGGAGAGAGATTAATTAGGAGCCAACATTTAGGATCTGCACCAACTTTTCTTTTACGTTGCGGGCGCTATTGTACCGCCGCCGCCGCCGCCACCTCCGCGTAGCGGCGGCTGATTGCGTCGAGGATCTCCGCCATCTGCTCGGCTGTGAGCCACTTGTACGCGGCGTGGAAGCCAAACGGGTCGTCGGCCCACACAGACTCGACCGAGAAGCGCATCCCCTCCCCGCGGCTCGCGACGCGCCCTCCCACCTTGGGCATCGACTCCACGTAAAAGACGTCCTCGCACTGGCCGCGCAGGTAGCCGCACGCGTCCAGGCACGCGAGGGTGCGGGACTTGGAGCGGAGCGAGAAGCCGCCGTTGCCGCCCACGGCGGTCAGCCACGGCTTGCCCGCGCACCACAGCTCGTCGAGCGCCTAAAAAAGAAGCCATTTTCAAGACAAAAGAGAGCTGTGCGCGACACACCACACCTCGTCGATCGCCCACGGCGCGCCGATGTAGTCGCACGACTGGAACTCGTCGACGCCTAAGCCTCAAGTGATCTCGAGTGATCTCGAGTGATCTCGGGTGGCGATCTCGAGGCGATCTCGTCGGCGCCCGGGCGGCAGACGAGCGAGTCGGTCTGGAAGATGAGGACTCGCTCGGCGGCGGCGCGGCTCCACAGCCAGTGCGTGCACATGAGCTCGTTGTGCGACGCGTTGGTCAGGTTGTCCACCTGCAAAAAGGAAAAAAAGCGCTCCAAAAATAAAGAAAACAGGCGGGGTCAACCATGGTCAGGTTGTCCACCTGCAAAAAGAAAAAACGGATGCGCCAAGAAGAAAGAAGAGCTGGCGGCCATTGGCATTGGTCAGGCTGTCAACCTACAACGAAAAGAACAACAAGCGCGTCCACAAGAAAGCAAACGAGGGAGATCGTTTGGGCAGGCTGGTCCACCTCAGACATGAAAAAGAAGACACCCGACTTCACAAGGAAGAACAGAAGACGGCGTTGGGTCAAGGCTGGTCCACACCTCCAGCGAGACGAACTGCACGTGCTCGAGCTCCTCGGCGCGGAAGGAGGAGCGGAGGTGCTCCAAGTTGGTTGTGCCGTGGAACACCTGGGCGCGACGAGCAGCTGGCCCGAGATCACCCACGAGATCACCCACGAGATCACCCACGAGATCACCCACGAGATCACCCACGAGATCACCCACGAGATCACCCACGAGATCACACGAGATCACCCACGAGATCACCCACGAGATCACCACGAGATCACCCACGAGATCACACGAGATCGCCGCAAGACGTCCCAGCACAACCCGAGAGGAGCCGGGAGGAGCCGAGAGGAGCCGAGAGGAACCGAGATGGCCCGAGATGGCCCGAGATGACCCGAGAGGAGCCGAGAGGAGCCGAGATCACCCGATAGAACCCGAGATGGCCCGAGATGACTCGAGCTCCAGGCTCACGCGTCACCTGCAGCTGCCACGCCGGAAGCCCGGCCGCCGCCGCTCCGCCGCCGCCGGCGCCGTTGGCGCTACCGTTGAGGAAGAGCATCGCATTCCGGATGACATGCTCGAGAGCGTGGTGGGGCCTACGAGATGAAGAGTACCGCCCATACACCCCCGCAATACCGCGAGCAGCTCTGCGCTCGAGCGTGCGGCGAGGCCTCGGCTCGATGAGCAGCGCGACGTTGCTAGAGCTGCCGGCCGGCGCGACCACGAGCGGCAGCCTAATGAATGAATGAATGAATTGATTCATTAATTCGTGGTCTAGCTGCGGCCGGCGCGACCACGAGCGGCAGCCTGCGCAGCGCGGCGGTCTCGCGGCCAGTCACAAACTCGTCAAAGAGCTCCTGCCGAGATCAGACGAGATCAGACGAGATCAGACGAGATCAGACGAGATCAGACGAGATCAGCCGAGATCAGACGAGATCAGCCGAGAGGGGCCGAGAGGAGCCGAGAGGAGCCGAGAGGAGACGAGAGGAGCCGAGAGGAGCCGAGAGGAGCCGAGAGGAGCCGAGAGGAGCCGAGAGGAGCCGAGAGGAGCCGAGAGGGAGCCGAGAGGAGCCGAGAGGAGCCGAGAGGAGCCGAGAGGAGCCGAGAGGAGCCGAGAGCAGTCACAAACTGCCAAAGCGCTCCTGCGGGGTGCGGCAGAGCGCGCGCGGCATCTCCTCCGCCCGCGGGTGGTACCCGAGCACCTGCAGCCCCCCCAAAAAGAAATCGTGGACCGCTCCGCCTGCACCCGATCACCTGCAATCCCGCGGCGGATGGGCGCAGCGCAAACTTGAATCGACACTTGAGCGTCGCGTAGTCGGGCTCCATGCCTACGTGATTAATTAATTAATCAGTAATTTAAGCAATCAGTCGCGCTCGATGCCTAGTAGGTGCTGAATACGCCAACGTGAGGACGGGAAGATGGTATTGTGCAGTGAA